ACTAGGGTTTTTTTTATCCTGTGTCTACATTGAGGGGTGATTTTTTTCCTCTATGTCCTTTTTTACCCTGTTTTTTTTCTTACATTTCTGATCATTTTTGAATGTTTTTGGCCCGTTTGTCATCTCTTTTATCTCTTGCAATGGTTTTTCTCAATCAATCTTATTTTTTATCATTGATAAATTGCCTTTGGGGTGGGGCCTCAGTGGCTCAACCTTTTTTTGGAGTCTCTGAGGGTGCCATATGGCGACGACTCCCATTTCTAGTTGGGCGACTCCCGTCTTTTTTTAATATAGAAAAAAAAGGCAAAAAATTTGGCGGAATTGGTGTGACGACTCCCTCGTATTAGGTGGACGACTCCCATCAATTTAAATATGAAAAAGGGGGAAACATTAGGCAGAATTGGTGCACCGACTCCCGCACTTTAGGCGGACGACTCCCTATTTTTTTTAATAAAAAAATAAAAATTCTCCATGTAAAATTAGTGCAACGACTCCCTATGTTTTTTCGGGAATTGGAAGAACGACTCCCGTCCGACGACCTCCCGACCGAAACGGGAGTCGTCGACTAAAATTTGGGAGTCGTTTTTCCAAGCCCCCAATTTTAATGATGAATGCCATGAAACTTGCCTCAAAGTTCAGATGTGAACTGTCCTATTGCAGGGATTTTTCCTCCCACAGTTGTGCTGAAGTTGCAAATCAGATTTGATTTCTGTTGTTTAAGTTTTCAGGGCTCTTCTGAATGGAAGGTCTTTTGGAAAACTTGACGAGCGCTACCAGTACCATATAGACTGAGTTTATATTTGGCTTTGTGAGGCAGATGTCTCTCCATCCTGGACTTATTCCAAGTTCCAGCGTTGTTGAGACACTTGCGAAAGGAGGCAATCATCCTTGAAAGGAGGAAATGTTTGCTTGTTTACTCCTGACCTCCCGACACAGTGTTTCCAAGTTGGTGGCATGGGTTGATAGAGGTATCCGAATCGACCGGAGCTTCGTGAAATTGTGTGGCTGTGGACCGGAAGTAAAGTTGTGTCGGCTTATGTAAGCTCGATGTAAGTCTCTTTACGTCATCCCCTTTTCCGATTTCTCCGTTCAACCCGACTTGCCTCTCAGTCTCGAGTCTCTGTTGACCACCTCCTTTCCAGCTGACTACATTCTTCAGGCACCCTCATGAGCTTCTTCCTGACCATTGTTTCCCTACCTGCTTGAGATGGTTAGAACGAGCGCTGCAAGTGACACATAACTGCTCCTGATACATACTCATATATAACCCTCCTAGTGTACCAAAATTACAAATACTGTTGTTGTCCATTATCAGCGCATAGATAGCTTTCTTGCAATCGTTTTCATTTAAATATCAGTTGATCGATAGCCTCCCATCCTTTACTTTTGTTTGACTTCCTATCAACCAATCCTTGTATAATCGGCCTAGCTCTTATCAGCTCTAAATCTCAAACAAGCCTCTTTTACTTGAATCGGTCTTGACAACCAATATGACCGGATCAATCAGTGCAGGACAGTAGGTCGATTTTTTTTGTTTGCTTGAGTATCTCTTATGTGGCAAAAAATTGGCAGTGGATTGATCGTAACTCATTGTCGTTCTACGTTTGTTCATCATTAGAAAATCGGCAAGTTTGATAGCGATCGAAAAAAAGCTTCAAGAGGTCGAAGCCAGAATAGCTGCCGATAGGTCAATTTTTTTTTTGGACTCTATCACTCATCGCGAAACGGCAAAAAACTTGAATCTTCACACTCATTTCGCTTTTGTTCTGTTCTATTCAATTTCACCAGGAAACGAAGGGAAGCAGAATTGAAGGCAGCCGTCGATCAAGCTCGGTAAGCACTTTTACAGCACTGTTGTGCTCAAAGTCTTTTTTGATCTACTAAGAAGTGTTTTCTCTTATCAGACGTGATGCTGAAGCCATTAAGCAGATGAAATCACGACAAAAACCCCTACATTCCTCTACTCCAAATACTCCAAATCCACCCAAGCCGCTTCCCTCTCCCTCGATCCCAAATTCTACCGGTCCTGCTCGTGGTAATAAAGAGCTTCCAGAAGCAGCTCTGTTCTTACTGAGGGACCTTTGGTCTCATCTTGGCTATAATGGCGACTCGTTTGTAGAGATGCAAATGGAAATCAGTCGTGAATTGGATCGTGCCGACTTCTCTAGGTTCGAGCGAGAGATGCTCTGCAACGAAGTGATTGGTGCCCGTGCCGAGGTTTGAGCGAAAACATTTAAAATCCCTTCACTTGATTAATTTTCAACTGACCGCGCCTCTTTTTTTTTCTTTTGGAAACGTAGATCAACATGCTAAGAGACGAGCGAACCCAGCTTTTGAAGAGACTCGATTTGAATCGCGAGAACATCACCCAATTGATGGAGACTGAGGAGCGAACATACAAAACTCTAATGGCGGAACGTGCTACGACCGAAGGTATGATCCGAGCACTCGAGAACGAAATTAGAGAGCTGAAGACAGAACAGCATGGAGCTCAAGAACAAATCGCATCATTAACCAACGACCTGGAGCGAGCTGAGAAAGCTAGAGTAGCGGCAGTACTTTACGCCAAAGGGGCTGAGGATCGAGCCTCTGCGGCCAATGCTACTGCCTTGGCGGCAGTCGAAGTGGCCAATCGACAGAAGCAGGCGGCATCGACACCTCCAGCTCCACCGGCCAACCCTACGATCCCGTTTTGGCCCGCAGCGGATGATGAAGCATTGAAGAACAAGTTGAAAGAGCGAATTCTGGCGGTCGAGGAAGAGAAATTAGCTTCTCAATTGGCCTCAGTCAAAGGCGAAAGAGAGAAATTGGTAAGCCCAAAGCAAGAGCAACCGAATGTAGAAGCTGGGAAAAAATCGCCACTATTATCCGCTATTTCACAATTAGTTCATGATGGGCTGTTCAATTAACCGCCCCCTTGAGCCGTATCTCAATGGCTGTTCCCACCTATTCAACGCTCAAATGTCACTTGTTTTTTTCGACTTGATCATTGATTTCTTATTCATCAATTTTTTGTTTTATTTTGTTTTCTTCCTGCTTGTTGCAACGATCCTGGTCGACCCCCATTTCTTGTGGTGGATCATTCATTACGACCCGTTATGAATAAATACACGAATCACGATTTTCTTTGACTGTCCAATCGGATACGGTGCCAATCTCGTTACCCAACCGACAACTCGTCGTTCTTCTCGCCGTCGCCGGTATCAATTGAACCTTCTGGTATTCATTTGCCCCTTGAACAAAAAGTCCGGCGCGAGCCCTAGAGCTACCGACTCAAATGGCCAGCCCAAGAATTCCAACAACCGAAACGACGGACCCAATAATCAACAAGGAAACCACCAAAACTCTGACAATAACAACAAGAACAAAGATGGCGGTAATAACGGCAAGAATCAAGACGGTAATAATAACAAGAACAAGAACAACATGAATAATAACAATAACAATAGCAACAACAACAACAACAACAACAATAAAAATAAAAACAACAATAATAAAAGTAATAATGATAATGACGGCAACAAACACAGTTCTAATAACAACAACAACAACACCGAACCAAACAACAAGCAAAACAGCAACAACAACAACAACAACAACAACAACAACAACAACAACAACAACAACAACAGTAGCTGGCTTTATCAAGCCAGAAAAAGTAGCATCATGGATCTTTTCTGACGTGATGATTGCCTTCTCCCCTTGATTCTTTCCTCATGCCTTGTCTGATTGTGAACTACATCAATGAAACACTAAAGATAGCTTCATATATATATATATATACATCGAAATAGAAAATAGTATGAGCATGTATCATGACTGTCTCAAAAATACCCCAGCCTCCCTCCCCAATATCCCTATGAACACTTCTCCTCATCTCAACTCCTTGTTCTCCTTAAATTAGATAAGCCTTGCTGAATATACGACTAAAGAAAGATGTATCTTGTTTTTTTTTCTTGTTTTCTTGTTTTCCAATCACAAGTCTTTCCTGTTTCTTGGAATGTTATGCTTCCCAGTAATACAACAGGAGGAAGTTTTGCATCTCTTTTCTTTTGGGTGTTTTGAGTGAGCTCTAAGAATAATTTTTTGGGTCTTGGTTAAACGACTCCCAGAAATTGGACTCGGAGTTTGGACTCAAATATGGGAGTCCGAACTCCAATTTCACCCTATTTTTTGGCCACTTTGATTGCAATACTTAGCCTTATGAATAGAATAAATGATTGTCTGGGAGTGGGATGCTGAAGCAATTGGTAACTGTTGCCCTCTTCTCTCTTGCTTATTCATGCAGTTTCTTTTCTCATCATCAACATCAGCTTCAAACACACTATTCAATGGCACATGATGGCACTCAGAGGACAAAAGCATTTGTTTGGACTCCATCAAAAGGGACAAGACTCTTTTAATTCCTCTGCTTACCATCAATACTAAGTGTTGTCACTTTGATCCTGTTACCAGCAAGAACTTGTTCTTGTAGCTTCATCAAGCGGGTTTTTTCAAAATTTGACATGGACATCTTCAATTCAAAGCTTCATTTATTACTTAGAGGACCAAGTTCTCCCAATAGAGTGCCTACATAGCAGTAAAACATTTCTGCTTCAGCATGGCATCTGACAAAAAACTTTTCAAGGTGACATGAAGCTAATCCAAGCCAAACATTTTGGAAAAATTCTCAATTCATATTACAGGAGCTCGAAGAACTTGATGGCCACAAAGGGTCCACTGTTATCAGATCTGATCTCTCAAAGGATAAGGTGTGGGAGTGCCTTGTTGGGCGATCTACATATCATCTTTCGTGACATCAGCGCTACAGCCTTGTGACACCCCTCCTGCCACCTGGTATCCGGTCCGAGAGTCGCCGTTACTCGCGGACGCCTTGTCTTACCCAGCTCGTCCGTGGTGCTGGATCCAACACCTTCGCTCTGGAACGACAGCCAATCGAATAAGGCGCCGCAGAACCGGGCATCCTGAACCACGAAGATCATGAGCAACAAGAAACAAAGCACCTACGGTGCACCCGCTGTAAGAATGATTCTCAAATGTCCATTTCCTTTGATCACGCTTAATGACCAGTCAGGATGCTTTTTCGACTTTTGACAGGCTGGGACCGACTTGTAAGGGGACATCGCTTTCGATCAGCAATGAATGAGAGGAATCGCTTACACGTTTTCTTTTGGAATCCATGATCACAGTCGAAAAACTTGGGATAAAGCTGAGTATGAGGCTAAGGCTAAACAACGAGATGAGGAAGAACGTGAAAGGATGAAAGAGGCGGATGAAGCATTACAGAAAGGTCCGGATTTTGACACTCATATCCCATCGGAACTCCTAGATCAAATCGTAGTCTGAACCATTTACCAAAAAAATCATAATCTTTGTATCAGGTAAAAAACCTCGCCGAAAACATGTCGATCTACCGAAGCCTACGGAACTCATGAAGCAACGAGAGGCGCCTCTGGAATTAAACAAAAATGTCGGTTTATTTTTCCCCTCTTGTCTGATTTTCTTAGTTTGGCCAGGTCCTTGATAGTCCTCAATTTCGATTTCCCGGCTTCTGTTTCTATGCAGCAAAACAAAACAATGATCGTTCAAGGAAGCTCGCGAGGTCCAGGAGCCCCCGGGTTTTACTGTGACGTCTGTAGCAGAACTTCAAAAGACTCTTCATCTTACCTAGACCACCTAAACTCGCGATTTCGTCAGTGCCATTCCCCTGCCTATGGTTCGAAAGCCCACATACGGGTCCCCTATGCTGAAAAAGCTTATGATCTCATTTGACCAGACTTGCGCCAGCTTGGTCAAAAGACCCAAGTGGCCAGGTCGACGATAGACCAAGTGCGGGCCAAGATTGCTGAGATGCGAGAAGCTACCAAGCAACAAGCGGCCTCAAAACAGTACGACTTCTCACAGCGATTGAAGGAGATCAAAGCGGCCGAGGAAGCCGAACGAGAAGCCAAACGGCTCAAGAAGCTCCAGGCACGTGAAGCTCAAGCTAAGGCTAAACCCCCCTCCGATGTGTATCAACCTGCACCGGAATCGAACGAGATTAATGGCGAAAACGGCGCCGATGAGATGGCTAAAATGATGGGATTTTCCGGAGGATTCAAGGCACGCAAATAGGCTTGATTCGCTTTCTGGAAACCAAAATTGCAAGTACTTTGAAATCTGTAAAGTAGGTGAAAAAATGTGTAAAGCTACACAAGAGGTTCCACTCTGACAAAAGTCATTGGAGGTGAGATGTAACAAAACATTCTCTAATTGTCATCCGTAGCTGATCAACAACCAAGCGGCGTTGATCTGAGTGTTCCGCCCAGAATTGACGTGGAAAAGCATGCCTGGCACACAAAGTGTTACCATAGGGAACATATACAGATTTATACTATAAAAAGGAAATGATGGTCAGCAGTATGTATGTAGCACAAGACAGTACGCAAACGACAGTGAAGCTATGAAGCCACGCGCAATTGACTGATGGATGCGGTGTCCCTCCTCACTCAGGCCCGGTATGGCTGTGACGACTCCCGCTGCAGGAGTCAGCCATAAACTCACTCGACCTGATTGGCAGCTCATAACTTATGCCTCAGCTTGCCTTCTCCCGAGTGAGCTCGGAAGGAGAAATCCGGCGAGGCCACTGGGACTGGAGGTCGCGCTTGGCGCGCCTGCAGACCGGCATGTGAGACGGAACTTGTGTTCTGATCGCGTCGATGGGGGTTTCTATGCATATCTGGCTTAACAAAGCCACTTCAACGGAGAGTCCGAGCCCCCAGAAGCCGTCCTTTCCGCAGGGAGCAGGCTTCACCGCCGGCACCAGCGCGTTATACAAAGCGAGCCTCCCATCAGGCAAGACTTGTGTTGGGTTCAGGTGGCTTCTCGTCTCAAAGTCAAGATTGTCATGTTCTACCGACCAAGATTGAGGCATACTGCCATCCGTTGTAGAAATGGACCAGCCACGTTCTACATAGCATTTTCGTGAGGTCCTCCATGCGGATTGGATGATACTGAGCGCGCATGGGAGATCTCATGAGATGAGGCTCTTCTATTCTATTCGCGCATGGTGGGCCCTGAGGTAGGGGTGTGCCTGGTTAGTCCACCCAATCAATGGTACCTGTTAAGTTTGACGAAGCAATCCACCTCAACCTGGACTTCCCCAGTCCATCTGGAGTCCTGAACGAGTTTTCACCGAGCTGTAAACGGCAAGGGCCAAGCCTGGCCAAACTGTGGCGGCCGGTTCAGATAGTAACTGTACAAAAAACTGTAGTCTTAATTGAAACATTTGTTTGCGAAACCATTGCTTGAAGTCTATATAAATCGCCATCTCACTGCTTCCAGGTGGAGAATCGTTTCGCCGCTCACTCATCAACTCTCAAGTCTCAGCGCTGGTAAGACTACTTTTTCTTTTATCAAGTTCCACATCAAGAATCGCCATACCAAATACCATCAATACGCAATCGCTAGTGTTCCGTCGTCCCAACTAATTAACTCAAGCCATCCTCAATTCCGATTCGACACCTGCTATCCCTTTCGACTCGACCCCAACTCTAATTCAACCGGTCTTCTGCTTATTTCATTCTGGTTCCTGCAGCAAAACAACATCAACTATACACTCGAAGCTGCTTTCCAACCTCCGAAAAGACGCGCTTCATCATGGTCAAGATGAATTCCAAGCCTTTCAAGGGCTTCGGTGGTAAATCATTCGTGAGTTCCCGTTGTCAGTTTGATCCAACGCGTTGATGCTGACAATCTGTTCACCTCTATCTGTATCCTTCTTGAATCAAGAACTCTCTTAACTTGAAGTCTTTCATCAAAGCTTTACCCTCCAGAAAAGTCCTCAAATCAATCAATGGATCTCTCAAGTCTGAGTCCCTTTCAACGATTGATTTCAGCAGTTGTGTGAGTCTCTGCATACCGTTACCTCTCTTGTGGAATTCCGATACTAACTTCAATAACTTCAATAAAAAACCCCATTCTAATCAATCAGGTGTACGAAAATCAATCGGAGCACCAAGCATCACAAAAGAACTCCCATCCGAACATCCAAGCTCTCGAGGCACCACCGCAGCCTGTTACTATGATGACTTTTTCGAAAGTTGTCGACATCTTTGAAGAACTCGAGCCCATCCAACCCATCCAAGAGATTCCGAAGCCGCGGAGTCGTACTCGAAGGAATTCGTTTTTGAAATTGAAGACCAAAAAATCTTCTCGGCCCAACACGGCCATCGAGTCTATAATCTCCAACCGATTACTAGAACCCACTCAAGAAATCTTGAGCCCAGAGAGCCGAAAAGCGCAGTGTTCTGCTCATCTGGTTAAAGCAAGGAACGAAGTTTTACTCGGCAAAGAGACCGCGAAAGCGTCTCCCTTGAACTGCAAGCCGCCGAGCGCTCGAGAGAAGCGCTTGAAATATCGGCTGTACAATGCGCCCCTCGATTCGTTTGAGCTGCAACGAAGACTGGCCCGCCGGGGCGGCGACGAGAAGATTTTCTTGCCCCGATTGGATCCTAGCAGTTACGCGCACATCATGCAAAAAGAACATCATCGACGCCGACTCGAAAGTCTGGCGTATCATCACAATCCACACCTTCTCAAAATCAATGAACCTATCAACAATGGAGTCAGAACTTTGAAGCTCGAAACCATCCCTGAAGGCGTCGGCAGTTGGGTAGTCTTAAAAGATCCTCGTGATCCTCGGAAACGTAGAACTAAGCTCGATTATATTATCACATCTTGGTAGTGACTGATACCCTATACCTCCTATTGAGCAGAAGTGTTTTACCTCAGCTTGAAGCCTTCTTTCTTGTCTGATCCCATCGTTCTTATTATCGAAGTCATTTCTCTTTTCTCAAGTCCTCTAAAAACCTAGTTTTAATCCTCACTATCTTCCTATCTTCCCTAATAGTACCTCCCCTTTCTTGCTATTCTTCTTGCTTTCTATTGGTCAGAGACACCCCCACCCTTTTTTCAACAATTTTTTTTTCCTTTTAACTTATCAACTGTCAAATCTCTGTATTCTTCATTCATTTAAACAGACACAATCATTCCCTAATTCCACTCTTTGTTTTGTTTTTGTTATGTTTTGTTAAGTGTTGTATTTTGTTTCATTTGTGGCAGTAACAGCTTTGTTCCGGGTACCCTCCTTGAATAATAAATCTTTGAAGTGACATGGAAGCATGGTGATTACTAAATACCTGTTTCATCCTGATCAGAATAACTGAAGTAGATTCAATTTATAATGTTGGTGCCCTGAAAAATGCTGCAACAGTGCTTTAAAATTCAAAAAAAAATGTATAACATCTGCAACCCAGTACAAGTTTCTGTTAACTCATACATAATTTCCACCTACCTTTAATGAACAGGCACTAAAAAAAACTTATACAGAGTTATAATCAACAACTTCCCACTATTCCCTCCTCCCGGGACTTGAATTACACTAGAGAACTGGGCAACAGTTGTTAAGCTCTAGAAATTTAACAATGCTTGAGGGAGATTGCAAGACATATCTAATTTTCTACTCTGGTATTACTGGGAGGCATAAAATTCCCATAGAAAGGGGAGAAGTTTGATTCAATGACAAGGAGAAAATTGAAAAAAAATGGATTGAACATCATTTTCTAGTTAAATTTAACAAGACCTGTATTAAGCAAAGAAATCTGGAGGGATCTGAATTTTTCATAGACTAGAACAAATTGGGGGTTTAAAATTTGAGGCTTGCAGTCTAGACTGTATAAGGGCATATCCCTCAGGAGAAGGTTTTTTGTATTTCAGCAGACAGGTTATAGCCTTGAAGGGGATGGATTTGCAGAAAATTCAATGATTTTAGGCAGGTAGGTCCTTGGGCAGGTTTGACTGAGTCTGCAATCCATTTCCACAACATGTTCATTTTAGATATACACAACATAAACCCAGCTTGACTTTTTTGATGTAGTTCACAATTGGCCAAGGCGGAGAAAAAAATTAAAGGCAGAAAGAAATCATTACATTCGATTCCAAAGACATCAGAAAACACCCATGATGCGAATTTTTGGGGCTTGATGACTGCGGTCACCAATGTTGTTGTCGTTTTCCTGGCTGTTAGGTATCACGCTGAGCTTTTGGTTGGAGTGGTAAAGATTGATTACCGTTGATTGTCGCGTATGCAAAAGATCCAATCGAGATCGTCGACAAGCCAAAAGACAAGTTGGCAGAAAATTTTCGTGCCGTATCGTGTCGAATTTGATTATTGTTTAACAGGATCGTTGTGACAAACAGGAAGAGAAAAAAACGGAATGAATGAATGAGAAATCAGCAAGTCGGAGAAAACAAGCAAAATTAGAGTGGTGGGGACATAGGAATACAGTTGAAGACAAGTCAATTGCACAGCCCATCATGAACCAATTGAGAAATAGAAAATAAAAGGGCGATTCTCTTCCTGCTTCTACATCAGTTGCTCTTGCGTCGGGCTTACCAATCTCGTTCTTTCGCCTTGTATTGAGTCCAATCGAGATGTTAACTTGTCTTTCTCCAACGCCAGAGTTGAGCTTCCCACTATCTCTCTTTCGAGTTTGATTGATGCCAATTGGGAAGCCAACTGCTCTTCCTCGGACGCCAGGGCTCGCTCTTTGAACTTGTTCTCGAAGACTTCGATATCCGCCGGGTTCCAAAACCAAATCGGGACTTTAGGGGTTGACAATTGAGCAGGAAGTAATCCAGCCTCCCCAGTGGCCGCAAAGGCTCGATATCCAGCCCTAGTAAGATCGATCTCATTGGATAATGATGCGAGGCGTTTTCCAGCGTCGTACTCTTTTGCCTTCATGTCTCTAATTTCGTCCTCGAGTCCTCGGATCGTGCTTTTGGATTCACATCCCGTCATTGGAGTCGTGCATCTTCGCTCTTCCGTGTCCATGGATAGACTGGTGTCATCCGTGTCGATCTGATTTTCGGAATCAAAAAAGATGCGCAATCAGCTGAAAATGAATCAAGTGGAAGGATTCTGATTAATTTGTTTCAAACCTCAGCACGAGCAGCATTGACTCTATTGTAGAGTATCGATGGCTTGAGTGGATTGACAGTATTCGGATGGAAGCAATACGGGGTTTTTTGTCGTGATAATTTTGACAGCCGCTTAATGGCTTCAGCGTGACGTCTGAGAAGACAAATCAGATCAAAGAAGGCTTCGAACACAAGAGCCCTGTAAGAGTGCTTACCGAGCTTGATAGACGGCTCTCTTCGCCTCCAATTCTGCTTCCCTTCGTTGCGCGGGTGAATTCGAGCCGAACAGATTAAAAGCCAACAGAGGGTTGAGGATTCATGTCTTTTGTGGTTCAGTCATTGAAGTTGAACGATAGGTAGAAAAACAGACCTCTGAGCAGCGAGTCTTGACTCGTACTCTTGAAGCTCTTTTCGATGCTTTTCGTATGCAATCAATCTTGGCGACTTTCTAATGAAGATCAAGTAAGATAAAGAGTTATCGATACGCCGTCAGTAAACTCGACTTTATTGTTGGGAAAGTGAGATTCTAAGAGAAGAAAAAGGCCACGTTGACCTACGTTTGCCCTGAGACTGGCCTGATTGCTCCGGTCATGGCTGCCAACACTGATATATATAAGTAAAAGATCGAAAACTCGTTTAAAATTTAGATAAGAGCTAGCCCTCGATAATACAAAGGTTAGATAATTCGTTAGATAATTCGAAGTCAATCAAAAGTAAGCAGTGGGAGGCTATAGATCAGCTGATATTCAAATAAAAACAGTGGCACGAAAGCTATCTATACGGCGATGATGGACAACAGTAATATTTGGGATGCCGGAAACTGACTTTTAGTACGCTAGGAATATCATGGATTGTAAGCACTAAGGGCAGTTGGTCTCATTACAACTTGCAGCGCTCATTTGAGCAATTTTAAGAATGTCAAGAAAGCGAGAAGCTAGTCAAGAAGTCCATCATGGTTATGGCCATGGGTGGCTGCTCGAGTCTCATGTATGCAAGAGGCGCCTCAGCAGAATCAAGTCGGGTTGAGCCTTATCACCCTAGTTAACGTTACAGCTGTTCTCGAGCTCACCGTCCAACCGGAGGATTTTGGGAACAACCAAGCGCACAGCGGTGCTGCAACCAAGCAAACAAGTCCCGGACCTTAAATTACACCACTCGCTTCGGGTCAAAAAGTTTTGCGGCTCACTTAGCCAAGTCCCCCTATCGGAGGGGAAACGCTGTCCCGCAGGCCGAACTGAGCACACGTCCCTGCGAGGATGGCGGGCAGGGGCCTCCGAAGCAAGGACTTGTCCATGAGCGGTTATCCCGTGGTGTTTGAGGGTATTTATCATAACACATCGTACCATTGCATGAGGGAAGTGCCTCCCGCGCATGTAAATACGGCACCCAGCGATAGCCGAGAAGCTCAGGTAAACAGTGATACTTTTTTACCTTCTGAAGTGGTCAGTTCTTTGTGTATTGCTTGAAGCAAGCGAGCAGCAAGCAATCCGAAGCAAATCAATTTTTACCATCCCGCCGATTGCATAGTCACACGGCAATGTTGGAACCGGCTTTTATCAAAGGAGAGACAAGTGTGCACTTAATTGATGAGGTTAAGGCTTTGCCTGGCTTTGTCAAGAAATTGAACTTGCAGTTCGTATTTCGTCCAATTTCATCCTCAAAATTTGGGAGGAAGCAGCGGAATGTTTTGATTTTTGATAAGAATCTGCACAACATGTAGCAGTTGAAACCGTGTGAACATCATTGCTTTTCCATCAGGGGGAATGTCATCCCGAAGGTGTTCCAAGATTTTGGGTTGGAATGGTATGTAGTATAATATGCCTTGAGGTGGTTTTGCCTCTCCCCACAAAGAACTGAAATTGTATCCTTGGCAATTGTGGTGGACAGAATATAGTATGTGGTAAGAGAGGTGATGATGTGGTATGAGGAGCTTGACAGAAAGTTTATTCCTCTTGGGAGTTATGTGTACTAAAATGAATTCAACAGCTTCATTATAGTTCAGATCAGCTGACTCCTGCTTCCCTCAAATCTTTCCTGCTCACTGGTCAGGCCATTTTTGTTTAATTTTGACTGAATCAGTGTGTGCCTCTCCCAATGCTGGCCCAGAACATCCTCAATGTGTACATAGATATCAAACAGCCCAAAGATTGTTGGTAGCCTTGAAGAATTCCTGTTGAGATTTCGCACACAACTCCATAATCACTCTAGAAGAGTGTGTCAATCAATTAAATATTTGAGTGGCAGGAAACCTGCATTTCTTATTGTCAGTCATCAACAAGAATCATGAATATGTTTCTGGATTAAGTCTAGATGGCTTGAACTGAATTGATCTTGTCAGTAAGAATTTGTTTTCGTAAATTATTCTCATGATGCAAAGGGATTTTGAACTTTCAGGCACTCAATGAGCCAAAAATTCAGTTGAAATATTAAAGAACTTGAAAGAGAACGTACACAAACCTCAATTAAAGGTTCGTACCAACAGGACAGACAACAAGTGTGTAGTGAGAAGACTTGATCCATTGTAAGAACTTGAGGTACCAGAGGAGGGCAACATAAGGATATCTGTTATATCCAAGAAATGGTTGAGGGAGAGTTTCCAGCCCTTGTATTACTGGGAAGCACAACATTCCAACAAACATGAAAAAACTTTGATCTCCAAGAAAACAACTTAAGGATAGTACATTTTTTTTCGTTATATTGAACAATGTGTGTCTGGGGGGGGATAAGAAATTGAGATGAGTTGAAAGTGTTCACAGAAACAAAGAGATGGGTTTGAGACAAATGCAAAAGATGTTCACAATGTTTTTTATCTGGATGTATATATAGGAAACCAGTTTAGGTTGTTCTTGAAGTTGATGTAGTTCACAATTGCAGTACAAGGGATGAAAAAGAAATGAATTGATATAGAAAGAAAATCAGAGATAATCCTCTTCGATTGCTTGATGACTTTGGTGACCATCCGCGGGGGTGTGGTCGTTCTGCTTGCTGCAAAGGCTCGCGGCGATCTTGGAGGTTGAGTGATAAAGGGTGATTGTTGTTGATTGTCGTGTATGTAAGCGAGATTTAGATCCATAAACAGGAAACCGCCTTGGATTTCTCTTGAAGTTGATACAGTTCACAATTGGGGTAAAAGGGATGAAAAGGAAATCAATCAAGGTAGAAAGCAAATCAGAAAAGATCCCTGAATTGAGTTTTAGGTGTTTGATGACATCGGTCACAATGGCTGCTGTGGTCGCTTTGCTTGCTGCTAGGGCTCCCGCCGAGCTTGGAGTAAGATGACAGCAATTGTGGTTGACGAGCGAGATCGGGATCGGCGACCAGCCAAAAGACAAGTTGAAAGTCGTGTGGATGATGGAAATCGATGGAGACCCGCCAGGATCGTTGCGAAAAATAAAAGGAAAACAAAACATATCAATCAAAAATCAAGGATCGATGAATCAGAATAAAACAAACGAAATTCAAGCGCTGGGTAGGTGGGAAGGGCCGTTGAGATACAGTTCAAGGCAGATCAATCCAATAGCCCATCTTGAACCAATTGGGAAATAACGGATAGCAGAGGCGATGTTTTTCTTGCTTCTATGCATGTACATCGGTTGCACTCTCACTGGGCTTACCGATTTTTCCTCCGCTACCAGAATTCGCTCGTATAACATCTTTTTCAATGCTTCATCATCGACCGCGGGCCGAGATGGGGTCGGAGGTTTGGCCGATGGAGCGGCCCGAGGTGATGCAGCCTCTTTCCTGTGGCGAGGGCAACGGAGGGCCTCAACTCTAGCTTTCTCAGCTCGCTCCAGCTTGTTGGATAACGAGTCGATGCGTTCTTTAGCATCAACCTGGTCGGCCTTCAGGGCTTTGATCTCATCCTTGAGTCTTCGGATGTTGCTCTCGAACTTTGCACGTTCCGCTCCTAGAGTCTTGTGTGCCTGCGCTTGGGAGTCCATGGCTCGATTTATGAGGTCCTCGGCTTTCGAATCGAGTGGGTTCGGAAGCTTGGTATTTTGCGCCTTCAACATGTCGATCTGCATTTCGAAAAACGACAAAGGGGGTGCAATCAGTTGAAATTTAATCAACCCGAAGGACTTTGTATATCTACAGATCATCCCTCATACCTCAGCGCGAGCAGCCACAAGTTCATTGCAGAGCATCTCCCGCTCGACCCAGGCGAAGTCTGCACTAGCCAATTCGCTCATGACCTTCGCTTGGAATCCAACAAATGAGGCATTATCAAAACCAAGACGAGAATAAATGCTCTTCAATAAGAGAATGGATACGTCTGAAAGCTCCTTAGTGCCAATAGTAGAAAGGGTGCAGCTCGAGGGCGAGGGTGAGGCCGGGGTTGGCTTGGGAGTACTAGTACAATTGGATGAATCTCGGGATTTTTGTGCTGATTTCGTCTGTTGACGCCTGAGGAGAAATTCAAGCACCTATCAGTTCGTTCAAGAACGCTGTGAACCCTAGGGTGATATGAAGATACTTACCGAACGGCCGCTTTCAACTCTGCTTCTTTCCGTTTTCTGATCAATTCAAATACGCATACATACATATAGAACACAGCAAAAGCAAAGGTAAGATTGAGGATCCGAGTCGTTTGAGGTTGAACGATGGAATAAAAGATAAGCAATTGACCTCTCAGCTTTGGTCCTAGCTAGGAACTCTGCAAGCAGAATCTTTCTTTCGATGAGACTCAACGTTGTCGATCTTGTGATGACAATCATCAAATGTAGAAAGGTGAAGAGTTCCAAATCAGTACATACGCTGCAAGCAACTTTCGCCTCAATGATAGAAAAGTGGTATACCGAAGAGAAACAATGAGGAAATGTCGACCTACGTTGACCCTTCGCTGGTTGATCTGGTCATGGTCACCAAGATTGATATATAACTATATAGCAGTAAAAGATGGAAAACTCGTTTTACAATCTAGATCCAAGTTGATAAGAGCTATTCCGATTGTTATGCAAGGTTTAGAACCAAGTCTCACGATATAACGGATGGAAAGCTATCCGCTGTCGATCAACTACTCAAATGAAAGATCGATTGCAAGGAGATGGGGCTATAATGGACAACAGCAAGATTGCGAAGGGCGGAGATAGCTTTTGAGCACACTATAAGGATGGTGTGTGAGTAAGTATCAATGGTAGTTGGGCTGACTGTAGATAACGGGCACTCGTTCGAACGATTTCAAGAGATGGAAGGATGAGGGAAAGACTGGTCAAGAGGAGGAAGCTCATCAGGCTGAGGATAAGTGTTATACATATATCGGACTCTAAACCTTGTCGATCGGCGAGCACCGCCACTCCGATGTGTTGGCGCACCAAAGTGCTGTGCCAGTGCCTACCCCGACCACAATCATACGTCAGGAACAGCAACGAAAATGTAAGAATTTTTGTCAAAAAAGCCAAAATCAAATGCACAATAGTAATCCGAATCGGGCTGGGCCCCTGAAATGGTGGGTACACAACCCAGTTTTTAGGGCCTGTACCGTAGGGCATGAAAATTTGACAGATTTTGGCCTAACAGTAATGAATTTCAATAGCAGATCTCTCTACTTCTTTTCATTTTTTGTGTAGAAGACGGGAAAAAAATGACAAATTTTCAGGATTGAATCCCATGGTACAGACCCTAAAAATAAAATGTATGAATATTGGTCTGGTGTTGAGCAAAGCCTGCCAAGATGCATAGCCCCCACAGTTTTTTTGGGGATTTTCCCTAAAGGGTAAGCACAAAATTTGGATGAATGGTCTCAAAAGTGTTATTCTACCGTGTCCCCTGATGTGCAAATTTTTGCAAAATCCATGTTTTTTGTTTACTGTGGTCTACAAGGGATCTCCTGGCTCCTCATAAGTCCTGCCAAGGCTATGGTAAACCCTTTTTTCAAGTAACAGAAGTCACCTCTGGTGAGGATTGCTGTCTATAGTTGCACATCACAAATTTCCATACAGGTTGAACGGGGTCTGGATGGTCAAAACAAAAACGAAAAACGGACTTTGTGGCCATTTTTACCTGTGTCTACATATACCACAGGTGCACTTTGATGTTGGCCCACTGGCAGGCCCGCCGTTGGTACAACCCACCACTGCAGTGAACTCGCAATGGTCTGATGGTGAGACAAAAAACATTGGATTGGTTGCAACCATCTATTGTGGTGGAAAGATTCTAAAAAGGAAGTTCACAGCAAATCAAGCCCCAAGCTGAAGCCAAAGGCCTGCATGAAAGCTTCATGCTCATGCCACTAAACTAAGAACCAAACACCATGAACACCAGCAGACTGCATGAATTAAGACAATCCATCAAGCTCTGCATTGGAAAAATGGTTCATTTTTTGGTCCAAGTTCAAATTATTCAAATTTTTTCCCTTTGTTCTGCAGATGGTTTTGTAGATCATTCTTGTACAGGGCAAAAAACAAAAGTTGTTTCTGGGCTGTTGCTAGAGAAACAACTGAGTCCAACACAACAGACATCAGTGATATGGGTGTGCCAGACAACTGGTCAGACATGTTGGCTTGTCTCCCCAGATGCTGACCCTACAGTCTGATCAGTGGGCCAGAATGGTTGGACCCTCAGACAGGTTGGTCTGACCAGGCTAATCAAGGCAAATATGTGGATGGCCAGACAGGGTGGCCTGGTGGCAGGACTTCCACCAAGACAGGTCAATCCAACTCAGTGGTTGGTCCACTGTAGAGATTGTTCGTTCGTACTCGGGTACCTGTTGAATTTTTTCAGAAAATAGGTACCAAGTACCGCACCAGGTCCCTCCCGGCGGGTACCGGCGGTACTTTTGGCGGGTACCGCGGGTACCCCCCCTCTTTTTCTCACCTAGATTCACTCCCACAGTCCCAAGTCACTTTTTGTATCTTTTTCACATTTATTATTTTTCTCTCCCAGAGTCCCAATTCTCTTTTTTTTCATTTTTTAGTCACTTGTTTTCATTTTTTTCATATTTATTTATTATTTTTGGTGTTCACTCCCAGATTTGAAAGTCACTTTTCTTTTTTTTCTTTTTTCATATTTATTTTAAACTATCTACAACTAATAACTAATTGGAAGAATAAAATCCAGAAAAAAAAAATAGAACAGAAAAGAAACATCAGAAAAGTGCTGAAAAAAATGCCACAAGAGTTACCTATAAAAGTTCCAAAAAATATATATATAAAAAAGCAAAAAAACATCAGCAAGTTGCTCATGAAAGTCCAAAAGGAAAGTAAAAAAAGAAAAGAAACATCAGCATCAAGCTGAAAAAAATGCAAGATTTACCTATGAAAGTTCAAAAAAATAATAAAACAAAGTAAAAAAAAAACATTAGCAAGTTGATTATCCAATTCCAAAAGAATAATTAGAAAAAAAGGAATGAAACATCAGCAAAATGCTGAAAAAAATGTAAGATTTACCTGTTCAAAAAAAAAAAAAAAGTCAAGAAAAACATCAACAAATTGCTGAAAAACAAGTAAGAAAACATGGAACATAAGTACTGGAGAGAGGGAGCACTTACCTGGCCCCTCATGATCGGTCCGCGCTTGATCGCTCGCGTATGGGGGCTGGGAATTGCTTGCAGAAGGTGGCTGGGTGCAGCCATTGCTTCCCCCTCGGCTCCCTTCGTCTCCTTGCGGGTCGTACATCGGCGATGAGGTGCGAGACCCGTTGGACCCGATGAGGTGCGAGACCCGTTGGACCTCGGTTGGTTGCGGGCGCGAGCCATGATGATCGCCGATTATCGATGTGAAGGGTTTTTTTTATATCCTTGTTCCTTTTAATTTTTTTTTGGTCGTGCAGTCGGTCAATACGGATCGATTGGCTTGGCCAGGGGGGAATGGTTCGAAGTTCAATGGTCGGTTTTTTTGGCCGTGCGGTCGGTTTATTGATTGATTGATCGACTCGATCCGAAGAGTCAATCAATCATCAATAAACCCCCGTGCAGCTGATCCAGCCCCCTCCCCCCTCCCTCCCCCCCGCCCTACAGCAGGGCTGTGGGGCGGTACCCGTAGCGGTACCCGGGTACCGCCTAATTTTTTGCCAAAAAACCGGCACCCGGCACCGCAGCCGGCACCGCCTGGCGGGTGCGAGGCGGGTCCGGCGGTACCCACAAAGCGTACTAGGTACCTAGCTAAGGGTACGGACGAAACGATCTCTAGTCCACTGCCATGCAATGGTAAGCACAACCAAGTTTCCAACATCAACCAAACCCAATACTAACCCAACACATGCCATTCTCACAAAGTGCACCCATGGTGTACAGTTGCGGACAGTAAAACCCAACCCTGGAGTTGGAGGGTGTCCAAAGATTTTTGCTGAAAAATCAGCCTTTTTTTGGAATTTTCATGGTTTTGCAGCCCTTTGAAGGCCAAAGAGTGATAAAAACTGGCTTGGAGTATTGAATAAACACTCCAAGTTGATGCTACAGGTGCTTGAAGGACCTTTGGGAGGTATAAGACCATTATTAAGCCTAACTTAAACCCATAGCTATGGGCTTAAGTATGGCTTTTGGTATGCATGTCCCAATACATGTATGTCACACAAATAAAAAAAGAACCGCTGCAGTAGAAGCTTAGCTGTTACAATTTTGAACTCTACATATCTGTAGGAGTTCAGGATTGTAATAAAAAATAAGCATTGGGGTACATGCCCCCCTGGGAATAGACCCCGTGTGTCATTTTTTGATTTTGCGAGTGGGGCATGGTTGGTTTTTTCCATCCGCAACTGTACATGGATCAGATGTCAACTTCATGCCTTGGAGCTTTGGAGAGTTGCATGAATATGACATAATCTAGTTTTTATGTAGAGATCACACTTTTCACTTTGGTACCCATGGTGGGTGTTGAAATCTCGGTGAAACATGAATGTACTGCGGTAACCCAGTAGCGCTGACAAGAACCCTCAAATCTAGCCAATCAACCGGTTAGGGTTGAAATCATCTGGACTTAAATGGCCGCTTGTCCTCGCTCTCCTCTCTGATCCTCAATCTCGTCAAGACTCGTCAAGATTCGACTCTCTTCAAATACTCAAGATCCCGATACCGTACAAACTCACCGATACTGGTCAAATAAAGCCCAGTGTAAAGTTCCTTGATCCTAAAGAATCTTGCCCAAAATCTCACCGCTCATATCCCTGTCTCTTTTTCTCCTATCTGCTCATCAAGTCTTCATCGGTTCTCAAAAATAAACTCACCCTGTCTATTCATTGCTCAATAAATAAATTGCTCATTTTACATTGTTTGTTTCTTCTTCTTCTATTGTCTCTTTCTATCATTGTTTCACCTCTCTTCTTTGTTTGATGATCAACTCACTAATTCTTATCCTCCTTTATTTTTCCTTTCTGTTTTTACTTGTTTTCAGACCTTTTGCTCATTGCTAGCGTGCTCGTGCTTGTCTTCAAAGTCCTCAATTTTCATCAAATCTTTCCATCTATAATAGTGGTATGCCTTGAATCCTTTTCTGTCATCTTTTTCTTTTCTATTGTCTTGTGATCATTGTTTTAACCCTCTATTTCTTTTTAGTCTGGTTTTAGGTTCTTTGAAATTTCATCATCATTTTTTCACGATTAACAGTCGAAAAAAGGAAACGAACCATACCAAAAAACTCACCGAAACCAGACTCTATTCGTCTTCGAGATGGACGCTGTTAACCCAACGATACTCAAGACGAATATAGAGGCAATCCCGGTTCTCACCGAAGATAATTTTTCCAGCTGGAAGACTCGCATCACAGCCTTGTTCAAACTTGGAGGTGTTAAAGATCAGATCCTTGATGGCGAGCCAGCCCTGGAAGACACCGACAACACCATCATCTGCGCAATCCTGCTAGCCAAGATCTCACAAACTACCCACAACAACGTGGTCAACTCGACGAATGAAAGTGATGCTATTCTTCTCTGGAAGAGCATCATGGAGCGATTCATGTCGTCTGAACCTTCCAACCGATCTCGCGTTTATAATCAATTCGCCAGCATCTCTTTTGACTCCAGTAATATAGACAAGTTCATCACTGAAGTCCGCTCGAGTCTTAAGAAGATGGAAGACGTCGGAGTCATTCTACCCGACGATATTCTCACCTACGAGTTACTTCGCCGGTTGCCGAGCAGTCTAGACAGCATTAAGCAGAGCATTACTCACTCAAAGGATGGCAAAGACATCAAACCCGACAAATTGATCAAGCACCTCGAAATTCATCTTAATGAACAGAAGGCCACCACCTCTGGATCAAGCGAAACCATCGGGACCACTATGTTCACAAAGGATGATCTCCGATGTGTGACTGGTGCACACAACCCCTACGCTGTGTCTCACCCGGCCGAAAATTGCTGGTTTGTCTACCCCGAAAAGCGGATTGCCCACTATGAAAGAAAAAACCGGGAGAATAATGTTAGAAGCTTCTCTTCCTTCTTGTTCAGCCATCCGGAGTCCTTTGTTCTCGACTCTGGCTCATCCTCTCATATGGTTTCTGACAAACGTCTATTCACCTCTTTAGACGAAGCCGAAAAAGGCCTAATCAGTACTAGTTGCGGCGAAAACACCTTGAAGATCGAAGGAAAAGGCTCAATATCATTGAAATTCCGAGATCGTTTATTATCTTTTCACAATGTTCTCTATGTTCCCCGTCTCTCTGTCAATCTTTTGTCCTTGCGCCACCTCTTACTCGAGCAATGCAAAATAAAATTTGACATCAATCATTTTACTGTGACTAAGAATGAGCAACCTTACCTCGAGGGTCATTACCACGACAATCTTCCTGTTCTCAAACTAGAACCCGTGAAACAATTCTCACACCTGAGCACTGCTGAAATGCTTCATAAGTCACTCGGTCATGTGAGCTATGGTCGAATTCGAAACAAGATGGGCATCCTTGTCAAAGCCCCTGAAATCTGCAAATCTTGTGCAGTCGTCAAAATCACGAAGGCTTCCTTTAATCATAGATCGTCCTCTGCATCAAGACCCTTCGAAGAAATTCATCTTGAATTGATCGGACCCATTGATCCTATGTCTCAGAGCATCTCCACCGCGGTCCGTATTTTCGGGTCCCTATCGATCAAAAATACGGACTCGGAAATGTGTGTAGGGACTCGGAACCCTGTTCTGCCACACCGGGCAGTCCTTAAATCACCGGTATCGGTGTAGTGTTGACAGGCTGTCACACTAGGTTGTGGTGTGATGTCGTGTGACATTCACATTGATGTGTACAGTCCTTGGTCCCTATCCAATCCCTGGATCCAGGGTCTGGAGAGGGACCGAGGATGAAATCCGTAAAATACGGACGCCAATGGGGACCGCGGCGGGTGGCGTTTTTTGGGCCGCGGTCCCTAAATGCGGGATAGGGACCCGATTTAGGGACCGCGGTGGAGATGCTCTCAAAAAAAGCACCGCTACATCCTTACCATTGTCGACTCCAATACTAGATTTTGCGCGGCAATTCCCCTAACAGCTAAATCTGAGACTTACACAAAACTGACTCGAGCCATCGATGTAGAAGCCAAGCATTTTGGCTATTATCCTTCTGTCATCCACTCTGACCGAGGAACTGAATTCACTAATTCCGAGCTGAACAAATATTGCGAGGAACATGTGATCAGACAGCAGTTCTCTGATCCTCACACACCTCAACAAAACGGATTGGCCGAGCGGTTCAACAGAACCATTCTTGAATCGCTGAGAACAAACATTCTAGATTCCGGCCTCAGACAAAATCTGTGGCATGAAGTACTCAGTGCCTGTGTACTCACTTTGAATCAAGTGCCCACACACAAAAGTAAAAAATCTCCCTACGAACTGTTCAAACAACTCTCAATACCTGTAAATTACTTTCACCCCATTGGCAATCCGGTTGCATTGATCTCCTCAAATCTTAAGAAAAGAAAGCTAGACCCTAGAGGCGAATTTGGTAGGCTGATAGGCTACAATGCTGAACTAAAATCCTATCGAATTCTGCGTGACGACGGCATCGTTGTCGACACTAAAAGCGTCGATTTCCTTGATTTCAATCCTACAGCTGTAACACCCACCTATCACGATGAGCTGCTTGTTGAAACCCCTGAAAAAATTGTAGACAAGGAATGGGAGAAGCCCAAGGAGGAGATAAATTTCAAGGAAGAGGAAGAAGATGAATTGACAGGACAAGAGGAGGAAGAACCAGTTGATGATCAAAACGATGACTCTGACGACTCTGACGATGCTATCATTGTTGCTCAGGACCTTGTACCACAGTCTGAAGGCGTTCGAGTTCTCAGAGATCGAACTATTCAGGTGAAGCCAGTTAAATACTCTCATTTCACTACTGAAGATCCAAAAAGCTTTAAGAATGCGGTCAACGGTCCCAACGCCAAAGGATGGATACAAGCTGTTGACGACGAGCTGGAAAATATTGAGCTTCATGAAGTGTGGCTAGATCACTTTAATACTCCTCCCAAGGCTCTGAAGCACACTTGGGTCTTTAAGACCAAACCAGCAACAAACTCGTCCCCCGAAAAACAGAAGGCTCGACTCTGCATCCAAGGGTTTCTTCAAACATTTGGGGAGGATTTCTTCGAAACCTTCGCACCAACAGGGAAATTTCCCTCGCTGCTGGCTCTCCTTATACTTGCTATCGATCTAAAACTGCCTATCCGCCAATTTGACGTTAAAAGCGCCTTCTTGTTTGCTCCTCTTGAAGAAGAAATCTTCATCAAGACTCCAGAGGGGTCAAACCGGACAGCTCCCTACCTGAAACTTGTGAAATCGCTATATGGGCTCAAACAGGCTCCGAAGAACTGGTATGAAACCCTCACGGTGTGGTTTGAAGAAATTCACTACCTTCCCTCCGTCTCAGATGCTTGTCTCTTCGTTCACGAAGATCGGAACTCATTCATCTTTTTTCATGTTTATGATCTCATCGTTGTTGGAAGGACTGAGGAATTTGAAAAGCTATTCCTCACTCGATTTCCAAACTCCACAGCTCATGAACCAGACACGTTACTAGGAATGAATCTGCAAATATCCGACATCTCCATTGAATTGTCTCAACCGGCTTTGATCGAAAAGGTCTAGACTGCTTGATCTGACTGATTACCGACCGGTGAAGACACCTTTGACTCCGGCTGTGCAATTGAAGACTGCAACAGATCAAGATCACGAGGAATTCTGCAAGCTGAACATAAATTATCGGTCTTTTACAGGCATGCTGAACTACTTGTCCTGCCGAACACGGCCCGATCTAGCCTCTGCCGTGTCTATCCTATCCAGATTCAATCAGCGTCCAGGCCTCAGTCACTGGAAGGAGGTCCTGCACTGCTGGAAGTATCTAAAAGGGACTCAAGATCTGGGACTTCGACTACAACCTAATCCGGACACGCTGATTGATCGCCTGAACTTCTTTACCGATGCCACCTGGGCGGAAGATCAAGAAACTTGTCTGTCCCAAAGTGGATCTCTTGCTTTCTGGAAAGACTGCCCCATACTCTGGAACAGCAAGAAGCAAAAGAACATTACCCTCTCTTCAACAGAATCCGAGATGAATGCACTGTCCGACGGCGAAGAGGAGAGTCAGTGGCTGACCTTCCTGATTGAGGAACTGTGGGCAAAGAAGCTTGCGCCGACCTTGTTTCACATTGACAACAAGGGACTTCTTGAAAAATTGAAACACTTTGGGTCTAATTCCAAGACCAAGCACCTAGATATAAAAATGAAGAGCTTGCGGGAGAAATTCAAGAAGAAAGAAATTGACGTTCAACTCATCCCATCCTGTGAAATGACAGCTGACGCGCTGACTAAGGCAGCACCTTACGCATCAATAAAAAAACTTCAAGACAAATGCTTCTCTGTTCTTTGCTCATCAAACAAGGAGGGCTGTTGAAATCTCGGTGAAACATGAATGTACTGCGGTAACCCAGTAGCGCTGACAAGAACCCTCAAATCTAGCCAATCAACCGGTTAGGGTTGAAATCATCTGGACTTAAATGGCCGCTTGTCCTCGCTCTCCTCTCTGATCCTCAATCTCGTCAAGACTCGTCAAGATTCGACTCTCTTCAAATACTCAAGATCCCGATACCGTACAAACTCACCGATACTGGTCAAATAAAGCCCAGTGTAAAGTTCCTTGATCCTAAAGAATCTTGCCCAAAATCTCACCGCTCATATCCCTGTCTCTTTTTCTCCTATCTGCTCATCAAGTCTTCATCGGTTCTCAAAAATAAACTCACCCTGTCTATTCATTGCTCAATAAATAAATTGCTCATTTTACATTGTTTGTTTCTTCTTCTTCTATTGTCTCTTTCTATCATTGTTTCACCTCTCTTCTTTGTTTGATGATCAACTCACTAATTCTTATCCTCCTTTATTTTTCCTTTCTGTTTTTACTTGTTTTCAGACCTTTTGCTCATTGCTAGCGTGCTCGTGCTTGTCTTCAAAGTCCTCAATTTTCATCAAATCTTTCCATCTATAATAGTGGTATGCCTTGAATCCTTTTCTGTCATCTTTTTCTTTTCTATTGTCTTGTGATCATTGTTTTAACCCTCTATTTCTTTTTAGTCTGGTTTTAGGTTCTTTGAAATTTCATCATCATTTTTTCAGTGGGTGTGGGTTTCTGCCGGAAATTCCCCTCAATTTGGACACCAGCACCTTCTGGCAGGATGTAGGTACCTCCCCAAAGTTAGAAACAGCCATGTAAAGGTTGTTGCTGTGTGTCAGACTTGGGATACGTATGAGTGGTGGAAGTAGTATCTAGAGTTGTAACTGTAGGATTGACAAATGAAATGAAGTCAAATAAGATTGATATGAGCATGGATTTTCACAAGGACATGGCTTGAAGATTCTCAATGAGGCTGTGAGTTTTTTTTTTCCCTTCACTGTTTTCTTATGGATGGGACTATGGCATTGAGGCAGACTTCTAGAACCAAAAAAGGATTTCTTATTTGTTCTAGCTCAGCAGATTGATCACAAAAGGAAAAGTCTCTCTATCAGTACAAGCTTTGAATCTTTTAAGAGAATGATGAAAAAGGAGCAGGAAAGATGAAGAAATAAATAAGGAATACAAAACAAAACAAGGTTACAGAATGTGAAATGAGTCTGGATTACCTAGCTCAGTAGATTGATAACAAAAGGAAAAGTCTCTGCTGAGTTAGGAATGGGAGCGGTGCAATGAGTCTTGGAGTAGTTGGGAATGTTGATTATGTGATTTTTTTGTGAAACCTGTAGTGCAGGGTTTCACAGAGGTTTATGTGTGCCTTTGTAAAGCAGTGAGGCAGGTTAACCAATCTCAAGAAACCTCAGAGCTAGGAAAATTTAACAATGCAAGTTGAAAGGTGGTGAAACTGAGGATTCAGAATTTCAGTATCAGTGGTAAAGAGAGTGTGAGGAGGTTGCAATTGTTGAGGGGATAAACAGTAAAGTTTATACTAAAGAGTTAAAAGATAAGGAGTAATGGAGCCATCTAAAATAATCAGGCAATGCCTTTATTAAAGGTAAGTGCAAATGAGTGCTATTACTAGTTAGCTATAAGGGTTTCTGAGTCTAGTAAATTTAAAGGTACCTGTGTAAAGGTATTTGGAATCTACATATACTTGTACAGTTGCCTTCCTATACAGCCAGCTTAGTGTCTTCCTAAAGTCCAAGTGATACTATAACACAAAGTCTTTAAGTGTTTGAGATGTGTTAGTCACAAGCAAGTGGTAGCAGTGTTGATGAGAACAAGCAGCAAACCTAAGAACACAGCTCAATGAGTAAGAGCAAGAATGAACTGATCCTTTAGATTAGGGAGCTATTACAAGTGGTAATAAGAAACACTATTCAAAGTATTGACTTATAGGTTTGAGCTATTGCGCATGACTGCATACAAAGTGTGAATTTAATACTATTCTAATAGAGAGAGATGACAACTAAATATGCTAATAGGTACTTGTCTCTTATTGATTTATTTTATTCTCACATTTATGTTTTAGCTGTACCACTATTAGCTCTATAGTATATGTATTCCTTTTGAAAATACAGCACCATTTGATCCCCCAAAATTATATTTATGCATTATTCATTTTTGTATTTTCAAGATATGTTTTTGTAACAAGAATGGTGTCCTTGATACTCATCCATTTAGCAGTGGCCAAGCAATACTCATTTTTCCCCTCAATACATTCTAGAGGATTCATTCCTCCGCAGTTGCAATTGCCATAACTACTGCAGAAAGTTGTCTATAGCTTAGCTCCTGAACATCCATCTCTTTCAGAGATTTTCTAGCTTACTTTAAAGCATAAATATTGTGTCTTATCTTGCTCCTGTGGAACTCAATTATGATGAGATTTCTATCAATGAAGTCAATGTTTTGTATCGGCCTTTACACATTGAGAGTAGGTCAACTAACAATTTCGAGCCCATTTGAACCTGAGAAGGGGAAATATATGAGTAAGACAATGCTTCTTTTCCGGATGGGATTTCCAACATTTGATAAATTGGCCTTTTCCCGTGTGCAAGTACTTGTAGCCGCTGTCACAGAAGGAATGAACCACCCCATCAATGGCCACCCTTGTGAAGCCATGATGAGAGATGGTGAATCAATTCAGCTATTCCAAGATTTGCGGCAAAGGACTTACCAGAGAAGGCTTGATCAAGGTGAATTCAGGAATTCATTTTTGTTATTTTTCTGGCCTTGACCCGCTGCTCACAGTTGGATGATTATCAGAGCCGAGCTCAATGGAATCAGAAAGCAAAGCGATCCATCAAGATATTGAAGCGCTCGCACGAGTATACTATCACGACACGGATGTTTCAGATATTGTTAAAAGTTTGAAGGAGGTTCATAGTCGCTTGGTTACACAAACTCGAGGGAGATTGCATGAGCCTGCTGGAAATTTGGTAATGATCACTCCTGGCTTGCCGGCCCAGTTAGACTCAACCACTGCAGACATACAGCTTGACAAAGAATCCACGAAAATTCAAATGGGAAGCCCCAAGAGCAAGGGGAAAGAAAGATTGACGGAAGAGATGGAAACTGGCCAACCTTCAGAATCGCTTGACCATCGACTTTGCAGTGTGAAACCTAAAAAATCGGAGCCATTCTCATTCGAAGATGTGTGGACTGCCCTAGAAAAATGGCTGACTAAGCCACATGACACATTGCAACAAACGTTCAGGGGAAAGCTTGTAAAAATCATGTTCCTTCTTGGTAATTATATGACGAGGTACAATTTGATGCCCTTGAGTTTCCTTAATTCCATAGAAATTTTCAAACCAGAGGTTCTTCCGCAAATGATCAAGTTCAATTTTGAATGCAAAATGTATAACTGGGGGATTTTGTTTGGATATACCAGTCATCTCTCTGTGGTCCCTACATTAGAATGCCTGACAACCAATAGGAGCCTAGAACACTTTCGAAGACCCATGATAGGTACGCCAATTCTTTGGATCCAATTTCACCACATGTAATATTGCTTAAAGAAAAAAACCAATTCTTCATTGTTCTGAATTGATGAATCGGTGTTGCCTGTTGTTTTGGGGTACCGGATCTGGTCAAATTGCTTCAATCCCAACGTAGAGCTTGATGAAGAAGGGAAGAAGCTAGTTGTCTACGCTTGCCTGGAGGTCATGTTAGAGTTTTTGGAGAGGCCGAATTATCGCTGGATAACAGATTTAACCAAACAATTCACCACCATTGCTCAGATATTTTTTTCAAAAGGTTTCCTCAGCAACGCAAACAAACTTTCATCCATTTTAAGCGGTTCAAAAAGAATGGAACAAAGCCATGAGATTAGATATCACGAATTCTTTTTTATGATACAACGGGCAACTGAGTCTCTTCAGAACCCGCCAGAATTCTCTCGAGGAGAAAGGCGCAGAGTGGAATTAATAACAACTGCATATATATTGCTTTTTTGTCTTACTTTCTATCCAGAACTCATGGATCAACTGGAGCTTCACGAGATTGGCACTGTCACTCTCCACAAGAAACTCCAATTAATCAGTGATGCCTCCCAAGTATTTCAAAACAGTGATCTGGAATATCCAGCAAAGAAGATTGAATATGGCCAAATAATTCAGCAATGCTATCTAGAAAAAGATAATGATATGTTGGAATGGATTGAAAAGGCCACATTAGCAATTACTGGATGTGATATAGGTCTATTTAGAGTAACAGATAACAAATCTTTTGGTGGATAATGTTTAATATTAAGTCTTGTGATCATTTCCAATGGTTTGGCTCAAAATGGGGGTGCTTATCATGTATTTCAAACTGTTTCCCTCCTGTTGTTAATTTGAACAAGCTGCAGAGTTTTTTGAATTTTGGGGTTCATAAAACAATTGAGGTATTCTTGGTGAAAACAAGTTGAAACTAGTATGTAGTGTAAAAACAATTCAAGAGTGTGGTAAACTGAGATTATCCACAAACAACTACCTATAATAGGGTCTTGGGTAAGGTTACTATAATTAACTTGGGATATTGTATGAAAAGATTATGGTGTACAAGTCCAACAAGTGATTTGAATAAATAGAAATTCAACAAATCAGGGAAAATATCACACAATGAATTCAAAATTTTGGCTGTTGATAAATAGGTTTTGATGTTGTTTACAAATTTTCACGTTTTCCAGGTACCAGAAGGAAGTGTCTGCAAGAATGTGACTTCCATGTGTTTAATGTTGAGAGCCTGTGTATTCCAGGCCCTGAATTGTGCTGGTTGTAGAATAAGACTATCCAGATTAAGAGTGAATTAGTGGTAGTTTGATGAGAGAGACCTAAGCAGGTTCAATATCTGTTGTGGAAAAGGTTCACAGTTGTCAGAGTGTTAGTTAAAGACTCTGGTTTTTTTGGGGTATACACGCTTTCAGACTTCAGTAGCAACAAAAAACCATCACATACTTTGTAGTAAATGTAGAGGGTTGAAGAGTAGGCTGACCCGATAGGTCAGCGGTATTATCGAGCCAAGAGGTGATGTTTCCTAAAAAAATGCAGTATGCCATTCAATCAAGTAGCATCTATGTAAGTGATAAAGTGGCGTGTTGTGCTTGGACAGGAATGCACTTACCACAGGCAAGACGGGTAGAGTCAGGGGCGTGAAGGACGATACTGCGACCGAGGATACTTTGCTCTTGAGGAGAGAACTTCAAGAAAGGCTCAATGTAGTGCATCGAGGCGGTATCTTGGGTACTTGATATCTTTCCAAACTTCCCGGATAGATCCTACAGGCGTTATCGATTACGTTCAAGAGTGGTGATCAGTAGGTTTCGTTTGGATGGATAGATGCCGATTGAATCCCGCTCAAGAGTAGCCTGCTTACTCCAGTTTGGCACAGCTGGGGTTGATGAAAATCGCACGGCGTTTTGGGCCCAACGTTGAAGGGATCAAGATGTTCCTGAGTTGCCGCGCAATTTCCATCTGCGCCTACCGGATGGGTATGAACTGCGATGGGGAAAAAAAATGACTCAGCTTCCTGCTGAACCTGTGATTCAGATGGCAATGGATATCCACATCTAGAGAGCGTTATCAAAGGTTTGAAGCCGAGATTTCCAGAAGCGTAGAGGCAAAACACTGACCATGATAAGTGTAATCACCAAAACCGGCCGGCTTTTTCAAGCCTGCAAGATTCACATCGACGACCACAAGCTGTGCGCCAGGAACCAGTTGGAAATTCACCCGTCCCGTGATCCCAAATTTTCCATCCAGCATGGCCTTCGCGGTCAGAGGCACATTGCATTTGTCGGTACCGACAGATGGACGCGTTTGTCCGTGGGCGCAAGTTAGGACGCACGTCGCGACCCACAGGTAGATAGATTTTCGAAGCATAATTGTCTGGTATTTTTTTCAGTTCCCCGACGATGATCCTAATTTTCTGGGGTTGAGATTGGGATGTATGCGAACTGCAAGGTGGACGAAAATTGTCGAAAAGAATGCGACGAAGTGCCTCAAGTCGACATGCAGCACCTGCATAAATATGTCACCACCGCGGAGGCGTTTTGCGTAAATGATGAAAGAGATTATTTGGCAGTGATCAGTCCCTCGGTCGAACAGAAGCCGCTCATGGCGAACATTTGTGTCATTCTTTGTAGCCATAGCTTTCCTGTATTTATCTTCGATCCCGTGTGGATACCAGGGGACAAATTATTCGGGTCGAGTCAAGATCCGTCCATGTTGGGTAATGCTTGCGAGTGACGTTGGGCATGATTCATACCTCTTTTGTTGCATATTTTTCTCTGTTGTTTCGTTGAACTCCGTTGAAAACTCTAGTGAATCATGATGGCTAAGCTCAAATCTTGGTATGTACCAGGTCGGTGTGAGTCCTTCGCTCTCGGCCTGGTAGCCATGGGAGCCGTGAAAAAGATGAACAATACGCGCTCAGTGTTATATATGTATATCCCTGTCGGCGTCCCCCCGGGTCCATCCAACCTGAAATAGCAACCGAGTGATCGGCGGCCGGCGTAACCATCTATGCATCCTGGCCGCTCCTGTATTATTCGCGATAGAGACGATTTGTCCCGAATCTTAATTTTTGCCGATTACGGATGGGCTTTACCCTTCTTCGAGCAAATGACCAATCATATAATCTTGGGCTCCTGGTTTTGCAGAGACTGTTTAATGGAGTCAAAGGAAATCCTCGGATATTCCACCATGGGACAATCATTAACCAAGTCGCAGCAAATTGAGAGTGATAAGTAGAACTTTTGTTAGAGGAGTTACAATTGAAATTTATAAAATTTTGAAGCCTATTCTAAGCTGTTTTATCAACAAATTTTTGAAAAGTGTACAGGTTGCCGTTGGACTGATTGTTCAGAAACCCCCAATCCTGTTCAGATTGTCAAATTTCTGAAATCCTGTTGATAAAGGCCTTCCTTCATATTGGCCATAATTTTTTACAAATTTCAATCACGAACCCCCGGATTTAAATGTCAGAGATGTGTTGACCCATTTACCTCTATGAGTAAAACGAAGAGCCCTCTCTCAGACTGCTTGGACTTCCGATATTTTAGTTCATTAAGGTCCCTGGAATAACAACATTTCACAGCTAGATGGATGTGAGGGAGGGGAGAGTCCTGAGGAAGTCACAGCGCGGGTAGATTGTGTCGTCAAAAGAGTGAAAGACTTGCATCGAGCATGGGTAGAAGACCCCAATCGCAAGGCCGAAGATAGAGGAGGCGATGTGTTGATTGTGACTCATGGGTGAGAATAGATAGACAAAAGGCGTTTTTTTTGGTTTCCCCAGTTTTTTTTTTTTTTTTTTATTTCCCCAGATAACTTACTGATTTGAAATAACTTACTGATTTGAATAATAACAGACACTTTTCCAGATGCTTTGTGTCAGTGTTCCTTATATAGTTCTGTTACGGAATTTAGGAATTGACCAAGAACTATGCAACGGGACCAGGATCGTTGTCGAAGGGCTCAGTCCTAAAGCTATCAAAGGAAGAATTCTCACAGGCCCATTCAAGGACAAGGTCATACTCGTGCCGAGGATAACACTACTTGATGAAGGAGATTCAATTGTAAAATTTTCCTTTTATAGGTATCAGTTCCCTGTAGCAGTGATATCAGTAATTGTAATAGTCAATTTAGTTACGTTTTAGTTTTAGATTATTCGAAATAAAATTAAATTTAAATTGTAAGTGGACCATAGAATTTGCGGAGTGTTTCGCAAACATTTTTTGTTGCCTGGAAATACTTATCCTATGTACAGCCGACCCGCCCCCTTCCCCGAACCAGACCAGTGGTACCCGAGTCCCCGATGAGAGGAATCGGACCCTGACCACTCTTCGCTCCTATCGACGCACTTCTACTCAGTCCACTCCACTCTCCTCGCCCTCCGATTGATTGTGCCCCTTCCCAAATATGGTTCAAGTAAGATTTCCCCTTTGCCTCCTATCTAAATACTCCCAGCTTGAAAACTGAAATCTCTATTTCGGACCTCTTAGGAAGCCAAATCAGAACTTGAACGCTTTTTGAAGCTCCACGCCCAGCATAATAACGCAGAAAAGTTATTCTATCATCTTGAGAAGGCTGCTGGATGTATGTAATTCTTCTTTTGTTGATAACCAATTTATCAACAGCAACTGAACTTCCTTGGCCCCCCATGACGAATCTGCAGCGGAAAAGGTGCATCAACATAACGAAGAATTGGACAGTCTTTTTGACTTAAAACACGCTGACTCCGAAAAGCGAGGATTTCTCACCGCTTACTGGCGTTTATTTACTTCAGGTTTGATACCCCTTGAGGAGCTTACCAACCAGCTCGGATTCACCCGCAAAGCCGATGGACAAAAAATCAAGGCACTAATCCGGCGTGCTCACTTCGTCCGATTCCCCGAGCGCCACGCTTCTGAATTGACCGAAGCACAGATGCTTGCCCAACTGGGGCTTTCCAGCACTTCCGCCGAACAGATAGTTGACGCTTCGCCAGAGGTCGACTGGTCAACCGAAATCGTCCAGCAAGGGTTTGACGCAGAATATCAGGGACACGATCTTATTGTTATACCAACCCTAGAAACTCTACATCATTATGCAGGCCAATGGCGAGAAGATGCATACAAGGCACCCTACACTTCGATTATCAGCCCGACCATGAGCGGTAAAACTCGATTGCTCAAGGAGCTGGCTAAACACGTGTGTGTGGTGTATATCTGTCTCCGGAAAGAAGGCTCCACTGGCCAGCCCCCTCGTTCCGACCTTGCTAGACACTTTATCCCAGAGAAAGGACAACTGAACATGATACAGCACTATTCCCACCTATTGATTGCAATTCTCAAGACGGTGTATGATTTTTTCAAACGACCCGACATAAGTACTAAAAGCTTGGAAGATCAATTATCTGAATGGTTTGACTACAGTTTTCAAATCAAAAGTACTTCGAAGGTTGAATTTAATACCAAGGTTGAAAACGAATTGAATAACTTGAAAATGGCAAGCAGCTCAGAGTCGAAACTTACTTACGATGACATACAAATAGGCGACCTACCGACGAGGCAAAAACTCGCTACTGCGGTATCAGACGTGGATGAAATTATGAAATCCCAAGGACGCGGAAATCTCAAAGTCCTCTTGGCAATAGACGAAGCCAGCAACCTGATCGATCATGTAAACAAACAACTCAATATTCCATACTTTCGTGTGTTTCGTCGGGCTTTATCGACAATACCTTCCTTGATGGGGTTCTTTAGCGTCTTCACCGATACAACTTCCCGGGTTGCCAACTTTAATCCTGCCCTAGACCGAGACTCCAGCACAAGGTTCCACGGTCGTGGTGTTGATTTATTTGCGCCGATCTACAAAATCTCAACACTTGATGTGTTTGTCCCGAAAGACAAGCCCAGCTCGTGGAATGATTTGCTATCGCCGGAACGGCTTTTTAGCTATGGCTGCCCATTTTATGGGTTGTATTTCAAGGGTGCAAACAAAAAAAACCCAAAAGGTGCCGTCCAAACCACGGCAATGATCGCTCAGGCAAAATTACTGTTCAAGACTCAATCGGCTTCCCCCGGAGTACTGTCTAGCCCGCAATGTTTTGCCATACTGGGCTCAATCATACAAACTCGGGTATCTCTACATGCGCCGATAAACTCGGAACTCGTTGCTAGTCATGCGGCGCATTGTATGTTTATCGACTCAAAGAGAGAAATGATTGTCAGCGATTATCCCCCGCAGTTCGTCTATGCATCCGCAGCTAACAGAGTTCTTGCATCCGATGACAAGCGTTGGATCGAGTGCATCGATGCTCTTGCTTCCGCGGTGCGAAAAGGACTCGTTGCCCTCGGAGATGCCGGAGAAATGGCGACGAGATTGATCTTGATACGCGCTATGCAGAAAACAGAGCCAATTCCTCACAAGAACCTCGATTCGATCCCAAATGGATACTCAGTGCGATTGAAAGATTTCCTTCAAACCTTGAGCGGCAAAAACCCAGACATCATGAATTTCGACTGTTCCGATGAGGAATACAGAAACAAACTCTTGGACCATGGGCAGGTCTTTTTCAATCACTTTACCCGGATTTCATACACACCCAGCGCCACTGACTTCTTGGAGCTTTTGTACCGAGGTGTTGCGGTCCAATGCAAGGATCGGCAACCTGGACTTGACGAGCTTTTCACCATCTATCTTGCACCCCCATCCACATCTCACTCTTCAAAGCTAGATCTAAGCAATATCACATTTTGTGGCATTCAAACAAAAAATCGGACAGGTTCAGTTCGCATGGATGAGAGTCACCACTGGTCCAAAAGCTTTGCCAAAATTGAAGGCATCAACAATCCCTATCTTATTCTGTTATTCAGTTTGAAAGCCACCTCTAGTCAAGTAACCTGGAAGCCTCCGGAACTGAAGGACGACACCCAAAGAGTTGCTTACCAGTTTCTTGGCCTGGGCGAAATCGATTGTCTTACGTCTGAAATGCGCGCTGGGCTAGAGCGGCTGATAACCGCAATACCAGACGACTTACTGAATCTTCACGATAATTGCAACGAGAAGACCAAAGATTGGATCAAACAATTGACCCCAGTCTTCTATCCAAGCGCTCCCGAGCCTGTACCTTCCCAAAAACCATCTAAACCTCCCGCACCTGAACCTCCCCAGAAACCAGCTCAACTCCCAGCAGCAAAAAAGCAGTCAAACAGAACCCAACAGGTGATCAAGCAAACCTGTGTACCTTCCCCAAAACCATCTAAACGTCCTGCACCTGAACCTCCCCAGAAACCATACAACCTCCGAGCGCCAAAGGGGCAGTCAAGCAGAACCTAAAAGGTGTCCAAGCAAACCTGTGAGTAGGCTAGCACAAGTACTGCCCAAGTCTGAATAAGAGTCTCATTAGCTTTTGTTTTGCAGGATGAATCTCTCCAATCATTCCAGAGCTCAGACACTCTCCTTCCTTGGATCTGGACAAGCCTTTGCACCAACATTTTAACTACCAGCAATCACACTGCCCTTTGATTTCCATCAATTTCTTGCTTTTTCTCATCATCTGCACTATGCTCTTTTCATCAAACAGTCTTGCTCTCTTTTCTCCTCCTCCTTGCTCATTTATTCCATCAGTCCCAAAATAACTTACACTGCTTATTTGACATTCCCTTATTTTAACATCTTGATCATCTGTTGTTACTAGCCAAAAAAACTGCTTTGTAAGGTCCAAAATGTTTTCAGACTATAACAGGATGACCTGTCTCAGCTTCATGCATGTGCCCAATCAGCCCTGAAACCCCCGAAAATAAAAGAGTACAGAACTGAGAGATACAATTTCTAGAATCAGAACTATGCAAGATTGGAAAGATAAAATAATCTTGTATGGTCATACCTGAGAGTAAGATTAATGTTGCTGACAACAGTAAAAGAAGAATGGCATCATATGGAAGAATGATTTTATTGGCAAAACATAGAAGATTGTCTGCAGGAGAGAAGAAGATAAATCAACTGTACCACCCACAACTTCTCCTCAGCTTGCCTTTGCAGGAATCAGGAATCACAATATTCTGCAACACACATATGCATTCAATCTGGTCGCAATGGTAGACCTATTTACCATTGTCAACATGTTGGAAGAAGACTGTGTCAGTTGAGTACACAGATGATTGGTGAGTATCTAATGTCACTACAAAAAGTCTTGAATCACATTTGCAGAATGTGCTGTAACAATGTCACCTTGCATTTGCAAAATGTGATTGAATTTGTGGTGCCAAAAATTCAATTGCATTTTGCAAATGCAAAGTGGCATCACATGTGACATGTGATGTTACCGGGCATTCTGTGAATGTGATTCAGCGATTTTTGTAGTGTGTTTGGGTGTAGAGCTGGTCTCTGGATATCCGTTGCGGATATCCGCTATCCGCTGGCGGATATCCGCTATCCGCTGGCGGATATCCGCCAGTGCCAACGGATACCCGCCAGCGGATGCGGATGCGGATGCGGATGTCCACTTTCCCCTGAAATCCTGGCGGATATCCGGGTATCCCAGCGGATATCCGCCCATATCAAAGGGAAAAAAAAGAAAAAACAAAGAAAAAACAAAAGAAAAAATAAAATAAAATAAAAAATAGAATAAGGGCCTTAATAAAAACCCAGTTTTTCCTGTGCGCAGCACACGCGGATTCCGCATTTGGGTGTGTTTTTTTAATCAATTTTTTACCACTTCTTTTTCATGTTTTTTTGAAATTTTGAATTTATTTCCTAGTTTTTAAAATGCATAGAACTTTGTGGTAATATTCAATTTCTTTAAAAATCAAAGGATCACTTTGAAAATTCCAATCAAACATATTTTTTCAATTAATTTCTTACAGCTTGTTTCTCAATAATTTTTGTTACTACACTTCAGGACATGTAAAAAATTATGGTAATAATCATTTTGCATCAAAATGAAAATTAATTCTTGAATATTGTATTTGGCATGTCTTTTTAATTAATTCTTATAGGCCTAATTTTCATTATTTTTTGGAATTTTAAATTCATTTCCTACATTTTGAGAGGTTTCAAGTCTTATGGTATTATTCATTTTACCCAAAAATCAAAGGTCCAACCTTAATATATGAGTTTACCCCGTTTCTTGCATAATTTGTGCTGTATACCAATTTTATTTGTATGCAAAACAGACATAACCATCAATTTTCAAACCTTTCAAAATTCAGGAAATAAATTTAAACTTCCAACAAATAATGGGAATCAGGCCTGCAAGAATTTGTTAAAAATACATGCCAAATATAATATTCAAGAATTAATTTTCATTTTGATGTAAAATAATTATTACCATAATTTTTTACATGTCTTAAATTGTAGGAAAAAAAATTAAAATGTCAGAAAATATTGAGAAATAAGCTGTAAGAAATTAATTGAAAAAATGTGCTTGATTGGAATTTTCAAAGTGATCCTTTGATTTCTAAAGCAATTTAATATTACCACAAAATCCTACGCATTTTGAAACCTAGGAAATAAATTTAAAATTTCAAAAAAACATGAAAAATAAGTGGTAAAAAATTAATTAAAAAAAGAAAAAAGAAAAAAAAATTGAAGGCTTGCAGGCTGCAAGGATATGAAAATTTCTGTTTATGCAGCTCCCAAAATCTGAAATTTCCCCAAGGAGCATTCATTTTGCACCCTAGGGGTCATTTAAGGGACGGATATCCGTGGATATCCGCGCGGATACCCGCCAGCGCCAGCGGATACCCGCCAGCGGATGCGGATGCGGATGTCTGATTTTGCTGAAAACGTGAGCGGATATCCGAATCCGAACGGATATCCGGATGCGCCGGGGCCAGCTCTATTTGGGTGAGAGTGTCACAAACTTTGGAATCACAATACTCCCTCAAAACTTTGAGGATGTTTGGCCCAGAATTTTTGCAGGGCTACATGAACTTAATGACCCAGCCAAAACTCAGGTCCTCAGGAGTTGTAAATCACAACCGTAATTTAGTGATTTTATCCAATCAAGGTTTGAACTGTTTTTGGACTCAAATTTGGGGTTTGCTCAACCCTGGACACGCCACAAGAAGATGACTTGAGTTGAAAAAAGTCAAGCTTTGATAAAAAAAAAGTTGTAAATCATTTGAGAGCATAACAAAAAAAAACTTAACACAGGAAAATATGTACAAGAAGCAGGCCATCCCTGTCCTGGAAGGAAATCACATAAATGTGAATAAGGAAGTGCCAAGAGAGTAAAACACACAAAGAAAGTGGGTTTTCAGCCCAATTCTAAAAACTCACCACATGGGGATTGCCACATTAGTCATAGGCTTCCACTGACATGGATATCTCCAATGCTTGCTACTGCTCTGGCCATGGGGGCCTAGTTAAGCTTAGGGTATACCTGTCCAAAAAAGCAGCCCTGTGGAAGAAAATATTTATGTGGGCCATTACCAATTGGCAATACCCAAGGGAAGGCCATGGGCATCCTATTCCCTTGGGTTGGTGGTGCTGGGGGGCCTCAGAGCTGCTGGGTACCCCGCAGGATCCAGCTCTAAGCTGAGCAGAAGTGAAACAGCCCACAAACCAAATATTGTTGCACTGGATGTATTTGAAGTGGAGGATTCTGATGACAAACCAACAAGGTGGCTGAGCTGACCTGGATGTGTTTCCTCAAACAAGCAATTGGCCAGATTGCTTCAGAACTAAATGAGCTAGCTGATGTGGATTTAATGCCATTCTTGTGCTAGGAAGAAGTCAAGATTGAGGATGAAACTCTGGATGTCTTGCTGTGGCACTGCCAGCATAATTGGCTGTGTTGAGGGTATTGCACTCAACCCATAGTGAATTGAGAGTGATAGGTAGAACTTTTCTTAGGGGGGTTACAATTGAAATTGTGAAAATTTTGAAGCCCATTTTATGTAAGGTGTTTTGTCATCAAATTTTTGAAAAGTGAACAGGGTGGACTGACTGTTCAGAAACCCCCAATCCCGTTCAGATTGTCTAATTTCTGGAATCTTGTTGATAAAGGCCTTGAAATTGGCCATAAATCTTTACAAATTTCAATCATGAACCCCCCCATTTGAATGCCGGAGATGTGTTGACCTACCTTAACTTGAGCAAGACGATCGGCCACCAGATGTCTTTGGAAGCTTGGCGAGCAGCCATGATCCGATCTGATGCAGTATCCGACTAGGAGCCCCGTGCGGATTCTCAGAGGATGTCACTCGATTACGTCACCATGTGCTGTGACAGGGCCTGCACTACTTCCGCCAAGTCCTCATGAGATCAGCCATGCGTCACAGCAGCGGACTATCAAATATTTTTGGCTGTTCCTTGGATTATGGTGGCTCCCAAACGACTACCCCGGGTATATTGCGTCCGGCATGGTCCTACCGAATGGTAAGTTTTTTTTTTTTTTTCTTTGATTCATCCATCTGGATTGGTTCAGATCTGTTGATCACGGCTGCTTTCCTTGTATGTAGGAGCATTAATGGACGGCACGTGAGTGTTTAGTCTACAAAGATAATCTGTTGGTCGCAGGTACAAGTCCGTATTCACCCTTGGGGAGGAGAAATTTAGACCGGGACAACAGACCTGCCGCTCACTGAAGGAGGCGAAAAGATCGTTGCCGACTCATCCGCGAGATTGGTGGGGCCTAACAGTCAGCTAGATTTCAAAAGTTTCGACTGCGTCTTTTTTGCGCTACGTTGACCAAAAACACCATGGATGACGTATCTCTGTCTTTGATCCCTAGAAATTTTGGATCCGCAACTATTTACCAAAGTCTTGATCTCACCTCGTCAACGGGCCAAGCGGACGTTCGAGCTGTTATTCAAAAACGATTTACCAGCGTTTGAGATCGAGGAGAATGTTCGCGAATGGACTTATGGAGATTATGAAGGTGTGGAACACTTATCCTCCTAAAGCTCGACAAGGCTTTGTAATTTTTACAATCCTTTCTTTCCCTCAAGGCCTATGGAAACACGAAGCAGCTGAAATTCGAAAACAGAAAGGGCTGCCAAGTGGTCGCGGAGGTTGGGATATATGGGTAAGAGCCATCTCTCAGACTGCTTGGACTTCTGATATCCTAGGTCATTAAGATTTCTGGAATAACAACATTTCACAGGTAGATGGATGTGAGGGAGGGGAGAGTCCTGAGGAAGTCACAGCGCGGGTAGATTGTGTCGTCAAAAGAGTGAAAGACTTGCATCGAGCATGGGTAGAAGACCCCAATCGCAAGGCCGAAGATAGAGGAGGCGATGTGTTGATTGTGACTCATGGGTGAGAATAGATAGACACAAGGCTTTTTTTTTGGTTTCCCCAGTTTTTTTTTTTTTATTTCCCCAGATAACTTACGGATTTGAATCATAACAGACACTTTTCCAGATGCTTTGTGGCTCGTTGGCTAGGCCTTCCACTACCTCAAGGAAGTCTTTTCACCGTCGAGACTGGATCAGTGACTATTGGACAATACTATGGCGGCAGTCTAGATTGTCCTATTCTTGGAGGATTGAACATCGGCTCAGTGTGAAGTCCCGACGTTGTCGTCTCAAGTTTGCTACCAACGTTCAAGTCCGCGGACGCTTGTTGACTCCCCTACCACATACACTGGCCATGGTGAGACAAACTTACCATGCAGATTAAAAATTGTACCTTGTCCTCATAGAAGTGCTCTTGTTATAGAAATGATCTTGTTCTCTTCACGTTCATGGTAAAATAAACCCTAGCCGCATTGTATGTATAGAGATCTTTCTGAATCTATTGACGTTCCAAATTACAATACTGTAGTGGGCCTGCTACAATTGTCCCCAGCCCCTGAACTGAATCACTAGTAGCCTGTTGGAAAAAAGAAAGAAGAGATACATGTTCTTTGCCATACGGTGCATAAGCCATAAGCCAGCTTGGTCTGGGTTCCTCCAGTCCAGGGTCTTGTCAACCTGGCCATCAAATTCAGGCAGATATAAAACTTGACCTTTAGCTCAACAATTGGTGGTGTAAGGTGTTGTTCAATAGCAACTTTCTGGAGTTGTGTAGGACCTTTTAATGGAACCGCACTTGAGGCCAAGTAAACAATAAACTTATGAGCTACGCAAGAGGCATTCTCTTTAGATATACTTGATATCTTCAAACTCTCAGAACCAAATACTCAAAAATACATAGAAGGCAGACAAAAAATCATTTTTTCTCATGAGCATGGGTTCATTCAGCAAGGCTTTGCCTTGAGAGTTTCCCAGTAGAAAAGCTGGGGTATGCGTAGCAATTAACAACCCTTAGTTGTGTTGTGACCTGCCACATGACTAGCAAGTTGGGTTCCCAGCGAGAGAAGGAGAAGGCCAAGAGATGATCGCCTATGATATCCCCATCGTCCAGGTTTGTTTCTGAGACCATCTGACCAGATTGTGGAAAGGGTGTGTTTCCGCTGGATCCCCATGGCGTCGCAGTGCACGCAGGTTAGTCGAACCTCGGCCGGTGTTAGTTCCAGTCCATCTCTAATTAATAGCTTGTTCAGTGCTTAAGTTCACTGCTTAAGCAATCCTCTTCAGCGAGCATTGGGCTGAGAGGTGTCCATGAGGAATGATGAGCACTCTCACGTCCCCCCAATCTTAGCCTAACACAAGATTTTGTTATGCCGCCAATCCCATCATCGTTAGCAAAATGCGCAAGTGACGGCCAACTACAGGGTGAATGATTGAGCTTTTCGGCATCTCATGAGCCTTCGCGGGATCTCTGCTGCTTCTTGCTTGGGACCAGAGAGGCTTCACATGCTAAACTTGAACGAAGTCCTTCCCTCCTTGAAGTTAGCTATTGGCTGGCGTCATAGCCATCACATAAATATATACCGGACAGTGTCTCACGCTACTTTTCGAATCAAGACCTCACACATGACCACGTCCTGCTTTCCGGTGTCCATGATCGTAGACTGGCTCCCTTTCGCTCCCTTTGTTACGGCTAGGAATACAGCGTACGAATGCGGACATACTAGAGCGATTTTGCGCCTGCTCCTGAACAGGTTACACATTTTCAAACATCCGATTGTCCCTTTAGTTCATCCCAGGCTCTTTTTAACGCT